TTGACTTGTGATATTCTAATCATCAGTCATCGGGCTTGTCAGATCCCAATGACTTGTTGAAGTTCTTAGAATTTGATATTCAACTAAAAGTTTTCAGGATCATTATCTACACTAGCATTAATACAGCGTTCAAAAATTTGTTCAGATCTTCCATCCACCACTTTGGCCTTGACTGATATATATCAACTATCAATTTTCTATAGAAACTGACAGTCTTCAGGGGGTAAACTTTTCATTTGCCACTAGCATTAGATGTTTGTCGTTTTTAGTGAAATATATTAATTTATCTGATGGACTGACAGTGGAGTATATTTTTGTACATGGTGTGAAGATGAATTTCCCCGTTATAAGTGAAATATCTGTGTTTGCTACATTTTCATATAAATTGGTACAGATGCAAAAGTCCTCCTCAGGATAAATTGTAATTACTTTGGTAATCGCTGACATTTTCATCTGATGCAATCATCAGGTCTAAACAGTGAAGTTAGATGAGGCAAATATTACACCTGCTTAACATCAGTATGTTACAATTCCTGTAGTAGCTAGGTTTCAATCCAAATGTAGGGCAAAGTTTGAAAAAATCAGCAAGAGAAAATGGAAATGTATGCAAATTTTCATTCACTGCTGGACACTATAAAACCATTATTATGAGGGCATATGGAGATGGTGTAATTGAGCATTGTCAAAACTCAAAAGGTGAAAAAGAATGTAGGAAACATAATGAATATGGAAAATTTCGGTTACCGTTTCTTTTAACTGAACTTTAATGAGGTGAAGTGGCATTTAACTGAAACAGAAGCTGAGAACTGTAACTTTGAAAAGCATGTATGTACACTGTGAAAATGCCTCGTTTCCTGTGTGGTGGCCATACCTAGCAGCAGAGAGGCGATAAAGGCTGTGGCCACACTGGAAGCACACAGCAGCACTGCGTGGCCCAGCCTGAAGTGCCCCTCTGGGATCCAACCAAAGATCACAGCAGCTATGGAGGCAAGAAATCCCACCACCGTGGCCTGGACCTGAAAGCACACACACATTAAAATGATTCCTGTAGCTTATAAATAAAACATGTAAAAACTCCACTTGTATGAGACTGTCGTGTATCTTCAGAGAGGCTTGAAATCAGTCAGTCTGCACTCTGCCGAACCTTACATGGCCTTCATGTATACAAACGGTAACATTTTACACTTTACTGTCTCCAAACACAGTGCCAATAGTTTGTCACAACTACACAATTGCCACAACAGGTTACAGATTCACTAGATCAGCAATTCCAATACAACCATCTTCATGGAACAGCAGGGTCACCTAATGTGAGCGCATGATGACCGCTGGTTGTGTCATCACCCAGTCAACACAGGTTTAAAGTGTTCCAGGAACTATCAACTCACCAAATATTACATAATCAAAAGACCACATCAAACAGCAAACCATCAGGAGAGAGTACCGCCTCACAGCCCAAATGAAAAGTTAATTTTAGGAAATAAAAAACATAAAAGATAATATATAAAGTCCAGTTGTTTGAAAGAGGGGGTGGTGCTGACATGTTTACACCCTTACTTGTTACTGCATGTACAGTAACTGCACTGTGACGGAATATAAGCAGCAGAGAAGGCGACATGCTGGTTGGCTGCAGTGAGTACAAGAACATTTACAATATTCCCAGGCCAAATGTATCTAAGTTGACACCTATGGTCTAGTTTATCTAGATAATCAATCATGTTGATTTTTCATATTAATTTCAAGAAAAACAATGTTTTGTATTCTGCCATTACTAGGTTTTTACACATATCTTACCATAAGATGCCACCAGGAGACTTGTCTAATCATCATTGTTTTGGGAAGATTTTGTCGATGAAATAAAAGTACCATGATGGTGGGATACTCCATAAGTTAGAAATGTGGAGAAATTAGTGCTTAGTGCCCACCAGACATAAATGTCATTGTTTAATTCACTGAGGTGTTCGTATATAGTATCCTACTTTCAGAGATGGCAAACTCGTCAGGTATTTTATCATCCCCACCACCAAACAAATGGTCCCTAATTGCAGCATCACCTTGGGACCTGTAGAAACCGTGGACCGCCACTGCCTGCCTGTTCAAAGGCAACCTGCGCTTGTCTTTTGACCAAAAATTGGATCACTGATTTGGAAAACAGATCTCTTGATTTGCATTCATTTACTGATATAAAGTGGACTGTAATGTCAGCTATATGAGGAAGACACTGCAGAGATTTTTTGTACTTTCAAAAGCAGATTGCTCTTTCCTGCACAGAGAAACAACTAGTGTCATCAGAGAGAGGACGTTTCTTTCGATTTGTGGTAGGCCTACAAGCAGGAGTGTGAAAATAGGTGAAAGCTTTTGTTTCGCAGAAGTTTGATCTGTCTTCATATTGGTATTACTTTGGTATGTATAAATATGTAACATGTATATTTAGGAATTTCTAGTTTTGCTCTTTCTTGTAGTATAATATTAGCATATCTCACTATTAACATATCTACACAGTGACGAGTTCATGAGTCATTCAAACAAGAGTCATGGGTGTGGAGCTATAATTGAATTTGATGTCTATCAAAATATATTTGTTCACGCTGACACTTTGTCACAAAGACATTTAACTGAATTTGTTGGAAAGATCAAGTCATGCGGTTTTATATGATTCATGCAACACCCCCCCTACAATACCTAAAGAGCAGTTGAACTGAGAAAAGGGTATGTGAATCTGGAAGTGCATCCGTCAGGCTCTCAGGTTAAGGACATTTAACTGATGAGTGCAATTTTACACAATATTTACACATTATTGTATTAGTTTTTTTTAAAGGTCTGAGTTCTTCATCCACTACTGATCCGACCACTGATGGAAGCACATGTAAAGTCATTGTCTGCTACTGTTTTTTTCAGTTGATGTAATTGTGGTCAAAGAAACTCTGTGACACTGTGCTTGAGCATATTGTCTTGTTTGAGTTACCTGGATGAGGGCCAAGTTCCCCATGATCATTTTCCACATGTCCTTGGATGTGTCCATCTGACCAATATTAGCCTGCAAGAGACACAGGAACACACAACATATGATCATTTCCTATTGTGTGGGGGATGGGGGGGCGGGGGGGGTGATACACAAAATGCTGTTGACTCTTGGTCCCATCAGAACAATGAGATATCAGTTCTGCGGACAAAGACACTCTGATCTGATCCCCCACCCTGCGGCCGACTCCACTTATCTCATCTCTAGTCTTGCACACACACACATACACACTGATTGGCTCAAGCGTCAAGTGGCTGTGGCTACAGTGGGCTACTGTGTGCCCGGAGCAATGATCCTAATGCCCATCCAGTGAGAGGACAGAAACCAACAAGCTTGTCTTCCTTTCTGTCTTCTGTAATTTGCATATACAATAGGAAAGGAGAGTCAGACACTGGGAGGCTGCTTGTGAGAATATCTGTATGCTTCATGCTCGGGTTGAATTAAGCAGAAGAATTAGTTCGTAAGACACTCCACTGTCAAACTATTGATTCATGACCCAAGGTGGCCCTTCAGATCCTCTAGTTGTTCTCTTTTAGCAGAAAAAAAAACCCTTTCGTGATGCTGTTGTCAGCCATGACACTCTAGGCAGCTGGAATAGGTTCATATAGGAGCGAAGAGTACCGATATTTTTTATTTGTAAACTAAAAATTCATCTGTTTCACTTGGATATTATGTAAAGTCTCTTCAATTTATAGCTTTATGATTCTTTAACACTTTTATTGCTTTTTTCTTTCTAGTCTATGATTATAAAGTTAAAAGGTTTATTTTAGTTATGTATGTTGGTGTGACTTGGACTCTCTATCCATATTAACCATACTGTGTTTGTTAGTCCCTTTCACCTCTTGACCACCAGGTGCCCCAGTAACCAGTGGTGTACCGGCCACTTCGCTCCGTGAGCCAAATTCCAGTGGACTGGTGGGTTGGTGGACCATCAAAACAATTTAACTTATAATTGGCCCTGTCTGTGTCTTTGCTGGCCCAAAGGCTACAGAGCTGAACAACAATGATGAGCCACAGCGGGATAAGCTCAATGACTAAGTGTTAATGTGCATGTCATTTCTCTTCCTGTCACATTTTGCACAATGTAGCACCGTCTAATATATCTGACAGCATGACAAGTGTGACTGCCATGTGCGTAGGCCTGTACATCATTATACTTTGTGTATCTGCTGCATGCCCACGAATACAACTATGAGAGCACGCTCCTCGCCAATCAGCCCCATGTGAGCATGGGCATCTGACAGTCATGCTGTCTCTGAGTGGGGCCAAACTATCCCAAATACTGATAAGAAGGTTTAAGGTAGACAGATAAGACAAGTCAAACATCTGTGCAGAACATTTGGTCAACTATGAACGTCACATGCAAAGACATATAGTCGCTTTCAGACACAAATCTTATCTTCTATAAACCTTTAAATAATTCATATAAGTTTCATACAGTAAAGGTTGAAAGGTTTTTTAAACTGTTTCAATTTCAGTCACTGACTATGGCGCAAATACGATGTTTACATTTGAAGTGAACATTTAAGAGCAGAGTGTAAATTGTAATGTTTATTAGACATAAATTGAGAATAAAGTACATTTTTGTAGCTGTCGCAATCTCCAAATACAGTGTGATCTGTACTTTTTTTTTGCAATGTGTTGCAATGCAGATGATGTAAGGTCCAGTAATCCATCAAACATCATGAGTCAGATACAAATAATCAATTAGACTCAACAACATGAGAATGGACAAAACAGAACTGAGAAAGCAACTTGTTTGTTTTAATCATCTCAGTAAAATTTTTAAAGACCAAGAGGTTTAAAAAGATCAAAGAAAAAAAATGAAAAGGAAACATGGTCATGTGAACTGAAAACTCTGACAGCCAGTCAGTACGAGGGATTATATTATTTTTTTTCAGTAATAAGCGCATTAGGAAACTATTGGTTTTAATCTGCTCATAATTAGCAGCAGTGGGGAAAGAAACGTGGTCCTGCTGGGACCAGCCAGCAGACAGCAAGCATCAGACTCTGGCCTACTTTGTAATGAAGGATTTGAGAATCCTTTCGTGTTGAACTGAAAATTATGTAGACTGACAAATAGGACAAATGTAAATACATTGACCCCCACAGGCAAGACAATGGACAATGGTAGCATTAGGGTTATTCAAGTTGTATCAGCTCCATGTAGCATAAACATGTGGCATGATTTAGAATGAGTGATTTTGTATGTGGAAACTACTTCTCATTACTTGATTGGAACCATTAAACACATATTGACATCTGGTTCAATCAACGTTGAAGGTCTGATAAAACATTGTTGAATTACATTCTCAATCTGACATTAGTTTACAATCTGCCCTCTGCATTTATGTGGAGAGAACACAGAGCATCAAACAAATCCTAACAAAAACCTGATAAACTTTATGCAGAAGTTATTTTAACTATTTTATCAATATTCATCTTTTCACTTCTTGACTACAAGCTTTGTTTTAACAAAATAATTTAGATATTTAGCTGTCCCTTGGAGCCAAATGGATTACCATACTGCAAACATTTTCTAGGATAAGTTTGTGAACATGTGCTTGCATTGCTAACCAGCTTCGTCACCTTTTTCCCACTGGCCAGTGGAAAGAATGTGAGGATTGGGCACTTAGGAGCAATACTGAGCTAATTCTACTATACCTTCATGACCACAAGGTGCTGTCAGGTCATTGACCCCTAAGGCGATACAATGGATATTTGTAGTGTTAGCTCAGAGAGGCTGATTATAGCTGAGAGCTCAGTGAAACTACAAGTGACAAATGTTAAATGTCACTATTATTTGACTTGTGAAATGAAGCACAATAAAAACCTTGGACCTTGGCAAAGCAGCTTTTGACTGTATAATTTGTATTTGTTTTGTATTTCGCTTTGGATAAAAGCATCTGCTAAATGAAACTGTAGAATCTGCGAAATTAATTTGTATTTGATTTTCAATATTGATAGCACACAGGGTAGTGAGACCCACTAAGACCTTTTGTATCTAGTTAAAATAAACACAGACTCCTTCAGGAACTATGTTAGATTTGAAGTCAGCATTAATTTATTTTTCACCCTGTAGTCTGTAAATTTATTCTACACTTTGTATACGCTCTCATATTGTCTGACAGCTGTAACAACACTTTGGCCTGCAATTGGGTCCACCAGCATACCGTGGTAGTTAGCAAGATCACTATTTCAGTCACTAGTTTATAGTAAAAAGAAATTAATCAATACGCAGACACATTTGGTCGAAAGTATTTCCTGTGACTCAGTGAATGTTTGGAGACAGGTGATAATCAGCTCCGCTTAAAGTTTGTCTTTAAACAGCTCACCTCTGTGATGATGTGAATAGGCTGCTCAGGGTCAGTGAAAATGTGAATGGTGAAGAATGCTGCTATCAGTTGAGCTGTAACCCACCTCGCCTGGAAAACATGACCTTTAACCCAAAGTTCAATCAGTTTTAAACTCCCACCCCGGTCACTGATTAAGCCCCTAAAAACTTATCTCTGTGCATCAGAGTTACATAATTACATGAAAATAATACCTTCCTGCCTTAAAATAACTTTGATGTAACTACACTGTTGCTCCCTCTAGAGTGCACAGATCTACGTTCCTGCCGATATGTACACACTCCCCACTAATTCCAGCTCGAGCACACCAGCTCACTGACAACTCTGCTCAAAAACTGTAAAACTACTGTTCACTGCACAACAGCAAGTTGTAATATTGTAGTAATTTAGCCATACACGTTTGAACCACATGTACAGGATTGGTTCCTTAAACCCTGGTGCACTGCAGCTTCAAGGTGGAAATGCTAAGCCATGGCATTGGCTGCTTCTTTTACTAATGGTGTGTCTTCTGGCATGTAACAAACTTATGAACATGTTAACAGATTGTCATTAGAGAGGGTCTTCTGTGGGTCTGACAATGAGATCGATTGGGTAACTTTTAAAAGGATAAAGCATTACCTCAAGTCAACAAATCAAAAAATCTATAGACAAATAGTTTACAGGGTGCTGATTATCTAAAATAATGAAATAAAATACAACCTGTCACCAGTGGCAGGCTGTGGTAGATGCTGCTTGGTGGCTGTGGTGTGCTCTGACAGGTGTGCGACCAAAAATGACTTTAAGAATAATAAACTAGGGCGTTCTCATATCAGATTTGTCTGAGATGAAACCCAGTTACATGTATTCAACACGTCGTCTTTTCTATGAGTGGAAAAACGTGCAGTTCTTCACGAGAAGACCTCATTTTTAAGCTTAAATACTGCAGTACACCGAAGTCAAAAAAGTTCTACTTTCCACCACTGTGGTCCACACAGCAGCTTCCTGTGCCGGTTACAGCGACACTAATACAGCTTCATGATCATGGTGCTCATCAGTTCACACATTCTCAAAATAAAGGTCGCAAATGCAGTCTGGAGCTATTTGAGCAAAAATTTGGCTCTTCTCTCTTTCTGCTCAGCAATCTTCTCTATTACTTTTCAGCTGAGGTCACTCTTCTCTGTGAGCAGCGTCTTCTCCATTGACAGCATGGCTGATGCATTAAGCCATCATGCCAGTAGCTGTCATCTAGTCGAAGAGGAGGGGAAAGGCTGTGTGATGCCTCAGATATGTATTTAAAGTGTAGTCGTATGACTGTCAAAGGACAGCTTTGGTATCCAACGACAGAAGATGAGCAAATAAAGAATAAATTAATTGGTTTACAGCAAAAGTGGACGGGTCTGGGACGCATCGAGCTGCGCCCCGTGAGAACATCTGCAGCTGCCAATCAGAGCCCAAGCCAAGGTCACATGATCACGAGAAGTTTTTCGAGCTACATACACACTCATGTGGCCGCGCCCCGCATCCAGGAAGTGAAAAATTAGTAAACATGCAGTTTAAGACTCATATTAAATCTGTTAATAATAAACAATAAAGAATATGAGCATTATTATTAATTTCCTTATTATTTTGTTATAATTAATTCAAATTTAAAATTGTGTTTGAGAACTACTTTCTATGTGTTCATTAGTAGTGGGGCGGCGCCCCTGTGCCCCGTATTGATCAGCCGCCACTGCCTGTCACGTACTATAAATTTGACTGTCTGATGTTGGTAGAAAGTGATACACACTGACAATTCCACACACTTTAAAAGAAATGCACACACATGTGCTACTTACCGCTGTGGAAAGTCTAGAAGCCAGCGTCATCTCTAAGTTGCCTTTGAGCCCCAGTAGCGCTGGAACCAGGATGAACACCTCTGATATCTCCGTAAACACTGTCCAGTGCTGCAATGACCACCATGTAATATCAGTACACAACATCAATGCACAACACAGTGAACACACAGTGATGAAAACAAATCTGTATGATGAGAATCTATAGAGCTTTCACATTGTGTCAGGTCTTCTTTACTAGGAACAAGGTCAGTGGGACATGATGCTGAAATGACTTATCACCTCCTCTTTCAGCCTCCAGTCTCCCCAGTCTTGTGTCTCTTTCAGTTATACGAATTTGAATACCTGAAATCTAACTATTAATATCTAAATCTATACAGCATGGTATTCCTGAATAAATACAATATATTTTCTAGTTTTTCTGCAAGAAGAAGCTACATGAATAAGTTCATCATGTAGTGTTTTACAGTTGTCTTTTGACTCTTAACCTGGTTCCACACTTCTGAATTGCTGCCTACATTTAAAATGCAATGTAAAAGTCTGAAACCTACTCCCATTGCTGGATGCTTTCCAATCCAATCACAGGTACGTTAAGAACAAGGACATTCTCTTTCTACTGTGCCAAGAAAAAGCATTCACCCCCTTGGAAGTTGTCCCTTTAAATTGGTTTTCAACATTGAAAAATGAAGAAAGTCAGGTTTCTATAACAAGAAATGCTCTTCAATGTCAAAGTGAATGCAAATTAAAAATGTTTTAAAAGTGAAATGTAAAATAGATAATTCCATATCTATTTACCCCTTCCAGTCAGTATTTAGTAGATGTGATGTGTGTGAACAGGTCTCAATCAACCCTTCACATGCGGACACTGTAACTTTACTCCATTCCCCATTTTTCTTCCCTGTGAAACTTCACAAAACTGTCAGGTTGCACAGGGATCACAGCCCTTTTCATCTCCAGCCACAAATTCTGAATTGAACATTCAACTTGTTGTCTTTGAAGCATTTCTGTGTAGTTTTGGCAGTGTGCTTTGGACCACTGCTGGAAGCAATCGAAGATTTCATTTGCAGAAACAGATAACTCAATCTTCACAAACCTTCAGAACCCACTTTTCCATCGTCTACCTGAAACAATATCAATCTAACTTAAGTCATCTCTATTTTTGTCATGTCATTTCTACTGAGTCAGATCCACTCAACTTCAGTTTGATTGATATTATCGCAAGCAAACAAAAAAAAAATTAAATCTTCTGAAAATATACAAAAATGGAGTTATCTGGTTTTACAAATGAACTCTTCAAGTGTTCTTAGAAGCTCTCAGCAGCTATATTTTGCTGTATGCATTAGTCCAACGAACAAAGACATTGCATGAAACAAAGTCAGGGGCTATGCTAGCATAATGTAAAGGACAACGTAGTAAGGTGGGAGCTTGCTTGGGACAATTATAAATCATGTGTAGCATGTGTAAGACAACGTGTCTGTGTGCCATTTCAGTAGAAGGTCCTAAATGAAATTTTCAGCTGGTGTTTTTGGCCCTGACCCTTGATAACTGTCTCCCTGGCTGCCGGCCAGTACTTGAATGGCGGATTCCCTTTGACTCCCTGGGCTTGTCACTGTGGTAAATTGCTGCCTCTATTAGACATCATGCAGTGATAGCAGGTTTGTGGTCTACTGTGGCCAGTTGCAAAGCTATTGCTGAGGCTAAGGCCATCGATCGATCTCAATAAAAGTGTGTATCTTTGGAGCCACTCCCACAGGCCGACAGCACTTACAGTCCAGTCTGCCCGGAGCTGAATCAATATTCAGAGGCCGACACAGAACAGAAAAGAGACAGAGAGGGAAAAATAGACAAGGAGAGAAAAATAGAGGAGTAGGTGAATGTGAGGCTACATTCTAACACTGCTGGCCTGCTTTTCTACCACTGGCAAGCTCTCATTTGTGCTTCACTGGGTGCTTTAGATGTACAGGACTGATAATGACTGTCTATACTTTAATATATATTATATCAGTAGGTGTGGCACCATCTCTCCAGTGGGGGTTAAAGTCCTTTTGTCTATTCCCTAAGCTGTCATCAGGCCAAGCAGAGCTCCCTTCCAGCAGCCAGCCCTTTAGCTTGGCCCACTGCCCTCTGCCAGCCCAGCAGCCTTGTGAGCACCTCTGTGAGCACTCCTCTCTTCTTTCACAGTCGCATGTTTTCAAGCGTTCTCTCTGTCTCTACTTCTTTTTCACTCCCCTATCTCTCTTTTTGCCTCCCCTGTGGTGATATATGTTGTTGTCTCCGTGGAACGCTGGCTCTGAGCCAAACAAGCCCTCCCTCCTCATGGCCACCTCCTTGGTTCTAGGAACTCTACTGGACAACTCCAGTACCTCTGTGTACAGACCTATAGGAGCTCTGGTATGCAAGCCTCACAAGGGTCAGGTTGCCCAGTTAAGTAACATGGCCCCATTTTATTTGTGATCACTGTACTTGCTGTACTGAGGGGGAAACTGAACCTGAAGGTTTGCAATGTCAACGCAACTCCAGCAGCGTCACAGACGCCTTAAGTTGAACAAGCGTGGGGTATCTTTTCATTATTTGGCTTCACTAGACACAGTTAGGATGAGGGATCACACAAAGCTGCTTATCAATTTATTAAGTCAACTCAGGGTTTCTGAACCTGGCTATGAGCAGACTTGGCAACAGACTGTCAAACTTTGACAGCTCCACTGAAACCACAGTGGCATATTTTACAAATGAAGAGCAAACTGCACTATTAGAGAAAGACAAAGACACACAGCTGCAGCAGCCAACACAGGAAAGAAAGACGCAACAAACTGCAGATTGTTTGAATGGTTAACAGGTTGATCAGTGTAACTGTCCCTTTGTGTACAAGTTGCTTGAATGTAGAGTTCCTAATCAAGATTTAAGATTCAGTTGTCATCATGCATCACAAGATTGTATAATGAAACTACAGATGCAGTCCCTGTATGCTACTCACAAAACAGAGAAATTATTTAACAAATGAAAAAATCAATAAAAATGAGATGATTTTCATGGATGAATTTAGTAAACTTTGTCTCATTCTTTTCATCCTGGCAGTGTTGAACAGTAATAGAAGCAAATAAAGAACAACAATGAACACTGACTGACTGAGGGTAAACCCTGAACAGTCTGACAAGAGGCAAAGCAAATAAGCAACATGGGGCTTTCCAAAGGTTCCTGAGGATCCTTGGTAGAGTGAAAGATTAGCCAGAGTTTGGGGCAACTTAAAAGCATTCTGACTTGCTAATCCTTTCCGTCTCTATCAGTCATGTTGTCATCAAGCAGCTGTCTGGGATATTGTCAGGTCCTAATAGCTGTGAGCTGACACATTGTTAATGATTGTCATGACAGAACATCTTTAGCAAATGTAGAAAGCTGACATGCTTGACAAAAAAACGAGCAGTAAGTGTTTGAATTTCTTTTTTTAAGAATAAAATACAGTTGTGGTCAGTTGAGCCCAAGTGGATTCAACTTTGTCCATTAAAGGCAGGGAATAAAGCCAGTAGCTGGAAAGATGATTCTGTTTGAGAGAATTCAGTCCATGCTCTGGTTTTACAGTGGTGTGAAAACAAAGCAAGTGGATGTGGCTGGACCAAAATGTTGTCTGGTGAGCAACAACAGCTTGACAAGTGTTAAACTTTTGTGTCGACTGTGTTTTCCTGTTTCCTTGTGCCTGTATTTTTGGACTGTTTGTTTTTGAGAGTGAAGCTGTGTCCTACTTTTTTTGCTTTGGTAGTATGATAGACAGTTAGATTAGAAGGCAGACATACACGCATACACAGATGATAATGATAATATACGGTATAAACATTTGCTGTGCAGCTAACAGAACCAGATGGCAGAATTTGACACCATTTGGCCATTGACTGTGGTATTCCCAAGAAAACTAACACTACATGACCTTTAGAAGTCACACTTAACCTGAAGTCCAACTATGCCGATCACCCTCACAGTCCTGAATTTGTGGCCCTGGCAGAGACAGACAGTTTTAGGTCATTCTGCTGCCAAGTCACTAAACACAACTATGCAGACGTCCTGCTCCTCTATACCAGCCTGGACAGTCCTTTCTGGGCCAACTTCATGTGGGACCGAGGCCAGAATCTGTGTGTGTGTGCTGTAGATGGTCAAAAACACCAGTGTTGAAGAGTTTATATTTCAAATAGGTCTCATAAAAAGTGACAGAAAAAAAACAACAAATTATATACCAGTCCAAGTCACAACTTCTAATCTTAGACCAAGCAGGCACATTAACTACAGGTTCTAGCATGTCACAGTTTTCAAGCTCACTTAAAGCAGAGGAACTGGTGCAGTGCAACCAAACCAGAGAGAGAGACACTGACAGAGAGGTAGACAATCACCTTTCTGCAAGGACAGCGGGGATTAGCTGAGTTAGCGTTTCACAGAGCATGGAGGGGGAATTAGGTTGCACTCCAACCTGCTAGATGCTCAACTGAACTCAATGGAACAGTCATGTCAGACAAGCTTCATCCGCATCTCACTGCTAGCATTTCTTGCAGATCTGTTCACAAGGACAAGTGTGGTCACCTACTTTCTGTATGTGAGTCATCTCCCTACCTTTCCTTTAGAGGTCTAAAAGAACGCTGCACTGAGTGCTTTAGAAATTAGAGGAACTTTAGCAGCATGTTGCCTAAGTTGAAGCAGTACAAAAACTATTTCTTAACCTCAAGCCTCTGCATTCCTGGTTTAGAGAGGATACCAAACCACACAGTAATGGACGCCTTGATGCGTATTGTATTTTGCTTTCACTCTGACTCCAGCTCTGCTGTAGTGTGCTGCCATTTCAGGTGTTGAAAGAAAATAAACTTATTCCTCTGCCTCTCCCCCTCATCTCTGGGCTGAGTCTCTGGGGTCCACCATGTTGGCATCAGTATGCATGTACACAGTGTGCCCGGACTGGTCTCCTGGTAGCCCGACACCTCCAGCTTTATCTCCACAACAAGTTGACTTTTAAGAAATATATGGGCTGTCAGGACGACTTTTGCCTGCACTTCTACAATGCTAACTTTGCTATAATAGCTAGTGCAGTAAGTCAACAGGAAAAAAGAAGTAGCAAGAATTTAACTCTGAAATCCAGCAGCTCCCTGACACACAGTGCACTACAATAAATACCCTTTATTCTTGTTTCTGTGGTATCAAAGCATGTCAGATTTAAAACAGAAGGGTGTGTAACTGGTCATTAGGAGACACACTGTGTACCAGTGTGTGCCAGCCCTGGGGACAGGCAGGCAGACCATAGAGGAGGAAAAGGTTATATCAATACCCCCGTGGCGTGTGACAACTGCCCCATCCAACAGATAGGCCAACAGCACAATGACTAAAACATGCCAAGGCAACCAGGCCTTCTTAAACCAGTTCACTAAAACGCTCATAAAAATGCTCCAAATAAAGGAGGACATCTTTGCAAGAACTCAAAAGTTCTAACTGTCAGTTTGCATTTCCACACACGCTTTGTTGTTATTAAACAGCAGAACCACAAGAACTTTTTCAAGAGTACTTAAAAGGGAATTAGCCACAACAGATCCCTTATTAAGATTTGCTCATTAGAATCTACTCTCAATCTCAATCAAAGTTTGCTGCACTTTTCCTAAAGAGAAGCTGTGTGCTTTAACTATGTATAAGAAATGTTAGGATCACTTACTTGGACAATGTCGAGCACCATTCCTGCTGCCACTGTCCCAAACCCGGCCAGCAGGAAGGGGAAGACCACCTGTAGGCCGATGGAAAAAGAGGTCTCCTTGAGCGGCACTGGGGGTTCAGGGCTCTGGTCGTTGCTGGTGTCATCACTCTCATTGCTCTGGCTTGCATTCTCCAGAAGAGCATCCTCTTCCCGCTGACCTTTGGCATTGGCCCGACAGTCTATTGCCACCACGATCTCAGACCTCTCCTCATCCTCCCCAGTCTCACTGGCCCTCTCTGTGAAAGATGCGACCTCAGTGAGCTCGAACTCGCCCCCGGCCCCTGGGCTCACTTCCTCTGGTCCCTTAGTGAGGATTACCGGGTGGACGGTGCAGTTGGAGTCGAGGAAGGCCGGGGTCACAGGGCCTCCCTCCTTCTTTATCTCAATGTCCCCGGAGGACATGTCAATGTCGGGGAGTTTGTCTTGTTCTTTCGACCAAAGTACCATGCGGAAGCCTTAGAAAGACAGGTCAGTGTGTCTTGGCCTAATTCTTGTGGGGATGTCAGAATTAAATTGACCACCTGATCTGGTTTTGAACCTGATCAGTCCAATTGATTTATCCCATTAAAGAGGCTGACAGGGAGTGGGGGTCGCTATTAAAGACCAGGAGAAAACGGCTCTGTTGGAAATAATTAGCAGCAAGACACATGCAGCCGTGTGTCTGCAGAGCCCGTGTTCCTGTCGGTGCTTTGGAAGCAGAACCAGTATGTTCTCCATTCACTGCAAGGTGCTCAGGGTAGGCCAGCAAAAAACAGAAAGCATGCTGGTTCAAAACAGATGGAAAAGGACAACAATGGGCTTGGGGATTCACCACAGAAATCCCCTACAGTCACGAGTAAACAGTCCTTTAAAGTTCAGCACGAGCTTGTGGAAATGTAAAAACAGAACTCTGCAGTGGCCAGATTGCACCACGGACTGGTCATGCTCTCAGTCCACTGATCGTGTCAGACTGATGGAGCACGGGGCTGGGAATGTCTCACCTTACAACACGTGGCTGCTGGGAGGTTCTTATAGGAGATATTTAAAGATCCACACTATGAGGATTGAATTACCAGCTGTGGAAAAGTTCCCCTCCAACCAGAGAGGTCAGTCACCTGGGAAAAGAACAAATTCATTAATTATTCAGTCTTAAATGTCTTAAATGAAAACATGATCCAGCAACATTCAGGGTGTATTTCTACATATCACCAGCCAGAAGATCACTGCTGTTATTGTAGCAACGCAACTCTGATAAAGCCATACAGAAAAACCTGTGCAGTGTGGGTTCTCTCCGGGTTCTCCGGCTTCCTCCCACAGTCCAAAAACATTCTGAGCTTAATCTGTGATTCTAAATTGTCCGTAGGTGTGAATGTGAGTGTGCTTGTTGGTCTCTCTGTGTAGCCCTGTGATAGCCTGGTGACCTGTCCAGGGTGTCCCCTGCCTTCAGCCTGAGTCAGCTGGGATAGACTCCAGCCCCCTGCAACCCTGGTGAGGATTGAGTGGTGTAGAGATAACAGATTGATGGATGGATAAAAACTCAGGCTTCACTATCTTTGGAAACATTTTTACATTTCTTATTATCTGGTATTGTTACATATTACATAGTTTAAAACATCTTACTTTTTTTTAATTCCAGTATAATACAAAATCCAAGGTAAATGGAGGCTTATATGTAAAAATGTATATTACAATTAATCAAAGGACACTAACAAATAAATGCTTCTAGCTTCACTTTGAGTACCACAGACGCCTTTGAGATGTTTGCAATGTTCTGTTACACTCATAAAACAGTTATAAATACAATGACAATCATATTATTCAAGCCCAGCAGCCAGCATTGACGTTAGGTACCATTGAGGAGAGACCAACAGTGAGTTTAAAAAAGCTTCATCCTGCGCCAAATTTCCTCCCGGCTGCTAAAAATATTCGAACAGAGGTGCTGGGTACATCCTCTGGAGGCGGAGAGTCACACCACTGTCAAGCCACAGCACTGCAAAATGAACTAGTCCTCTTCTGCCCTTCTAAATAAACACCCCAGCTGCTTGCTTTTAGCATAGCCTAGTCAGCCTAGGGAAAACTAAACTCTCATTTTCAATTCAACAGCAAACACAGAAGTTTTAATTTTTTTTCTCATTAAAATGTAAAAACAATAAGGACTTTCTGACCTCCTTATTAAAGGCCCATGTTGTGTCATGTACTAAGCACAGCTTGTATTCTAATAAGTTGCACATCTGAGCTGCACTCTTTCCTCCTACTAGAAAACAGCAGCCTCACATGAAGAACAGCTGTCTAATACCTTCTTTATTAAAAAAGATTCCCATTCCTACTTGCCATTCCCTGTTTGCGCTGTCTGAGTAATTAAAAAAAATTAAAATTAAAAAAAATATCTAATCTAAAAATCACCTAATAATAATAATAATAAATATTTTGACATAACAACACAGTTTGGAGATAATAGCCATCAAGATGAACCTTTACCCAGCATGAAATAAATATATAAATTTAAAAAAAAGTACATGCAAGTTTTTTTTTTTTATTTTGAAGGCCAAACTATCAGCTTCCATTTGCATCGCTGCTGGCTTCACGCAGCATTTCTCCGGCTGCATGTGTCGGCATCCGCATAAAGACTTTGGCTTTCCCCGCTGGAACAATCCTCTGTTTAGTAGTCAGGACCAATACCACCCGAACCCAACATGGCAAAGGCGTAAATTAGTGCTCCCCTGGTCAAGACTGAATAGACAAGCCCTCCTATTCTATTCTACAGCTCATTTAAACAAGGGCAGAGGGCTTTCTGTGGGGCTGGAGCCCATGTCACTGCCACGAGTATTGAACTTAGAAAAAATGAATGTCTCAGAACCATACCTGTCATTTCTTTACCACCGCCACACACACACACACACACACACACACACACACACACACACAGATCTAAGGCAGGAGCTGGAGTTTTGCACTCTCTGTGTCTCCAAGTGACACATTTCGCCAGATAAAGGCTCTTTCATGAAATTACAGTTCAAATGTCCAGCAAGTAGTCCGATAAAAAAATAAAAAATAAAAAAAGAAGCTCATGGTAGTAGTTACCTTTCAGTGTCAGCGGTCCAGCAGGGGACACGCCGAAGTGATGATCAGTGTGAGCACAAGGACTCCGTGTGACGGCTGGATGGATCTTCCACCTCCCGGTAACGCGCTCAGGCTGAGGCGTGGACGCCGGTGCGCACGCTTTATGTACGATGGGGCTCCGCACAGCTTGCCTTGATGGTAAATAGTGGTTAATGGCTAAACCCTCCCTCCCGCGCGGTTCAGGCTGCGTCCCAGTCTCACCCGACGCCGTTACATTGCACCCGTTCAGTGGCCCCCGCCGCCCGGCTGCTTTCATGCTCATCTAGAATACACCCGTCCGGTGCAGGGGGCCAGGAAGCCACAAGGCGGACCCTCCCTCCACTCTCTGGGCTGACGATAGAGGACCCCCGCCACCGCCACCCCTCAAACCCCTCTCTTCTCGTCTCCATTGCGCACAAGCTCGCCCCCTCCCTCTCCCCTCATGTGTGTACAAATTTGTGCCCGTGCGGTGCCAGTCTCCTCCACAAGCCTACTAATTTACTACCAGGTGGCAGAGACGGAAGTTTTAATTTAACAATAGGCCTAGATTCCTGAATGAATGGGTACGCACGCATATCAGTACAGTGTAACTGAGCAAGGGCGGATTTAGTCACTGATCCACCAACATGGAGAATAAATAAATACAAGTCTTACATAAGTGAAAGTTTTGAAATAAGAGCACTATGACCCAAAGCAGGGTCCAGCAGTAGAATATGTTTGTACAGTGGTATAGTACAACTGCTTTGCTCAACTTACCACAGCATGCCTTGTTAACTGTAAAATAATCCTATTCATGTGTTATTCCAGAGAGTGTCAGGGTGGGTAAAGCGGGTTTAAAGTAAGTCTGTGGAGTGCCCCAGTGAGCTTCAGTCTTCTGATTTAACACCGACAAGCTCCCACTAATAAACATTGTGCAAATAAAGGAACACATTAGCAGACATTAATCCCATATTTGCATTGCTTTGTTGCATTGTTACCAAGCAACTGCAGCCCAATAGGTTGCATTAAACAAATCAATGATTGATTGCGCCTCTACTTTGAAGCAAAATTGAAATGACTGTATAAAACTTACTGGCCATGACTGTTTACTGTGGCTCAGGTGATAGAGTGGTTGTCCTCTAATCGCAAGGCAGGTGGTTTGATCCCTGACCCCTCCACAGTCGGAGTGTCCTTGGGCAAGACACTGAACCCGAAGTTGCTCCCAATGGCAGGCAGCACCTTGCATGGCAGCTCTGTCACCATTAGTGTATGACTGTGTGTGAATGAGTGAATGAGATAACATTGTAAAGCGCTTTGAGTACCACGAAGGTAGAAAAACGCTACATAAGTGCAGACCATTTATCATTTAAAACACTATGCCCTTGATAATGTACATTTTTTCAAGAAGAATAAAGAAATCTCAGTGTTATCATGGCCTAGAATTGAAATAAAAACCTCAATTGATGAGTAATGATTATTTGACTTTCTGGTGACTTGTGGGTATGAGAACAGCATTAAAGCAGAATGTATGTACTACTGTCATATTAAAGGATTTTTGTCTTACAAAGAGTTGCCCATTTAAACAACAGAGTTGCGTGTCTTGGCATCTGACAAACGCAAATTCAATATTCATTTTGCTGTTACCTCGGGCTTAGTTTCCACCACCTCCTCACAAAAATATTCAGCTCTTTAGCTGTTTAGCTGCTGTTTTTTCTCTCTTATTTATAGAACTTAACAGGTAGTGCACTATGACTTTATCAGAATTTTTTGTTAAAAACGTCGGTTGGCTGCTCGTTGTGATGTGAGCCGTAACACTGTTGTGGGCAGTAAAAAAACAAAACAGTTAGCTGAAAAATGCTAAGTTGCTTTATAGAACTATGGGAAACTACAAAGTTAGATAATATGTTTCTGTGCATTTGTCATTATACCTCTACAATATCCTTTCCCACCGTTGCCAACCGCTTGCTCAGAGGGAGTCCGAAGGCAGTTTTGGATTGTTGGGTTCTCTGTTTAAATTTGTAAGGTCTATACCTTACCATGTTAGTCGCTGTGAGATGGCATATGTTGTTAACTGTGCTATACAAATAAAATAAAAGTGAATTGAATTGAATTGGCTGCAGGGTGGTGCAGTTAGTAGCACTGTTGCCTCACATCAAAAAGGTCGCTGGTTCGCGTCCCGGTGGGGGCACTGGAATCTTTCTGCGTGGAGTTTGCATGTTCTCCCCGTGCAGCGTGGGTTCTCTTCGGGTTCTCCGGCTTCCTCCCACACAGTCCAAAATCATGTTGAGGTTAATTGGTGATTCCAAATTGTCTGTAGGTGTGACTGTGAGTGTGTTTGGTTGTCTGTCTCTAAGTGTAGCCCTGTGATAGACTGGTGACCTGTCCAGGGT